GCATTCGTGACTTTGTCCGCGACGCATGTTGTGTGGAGGGCAAGGAAAGCAGCGCTCCAATGACCAGTACTCAATGGCACCGAGACGCGAACCCATCTCGGAGGCTCCCGGGGAGTCCACATTCCTCCACCCTGACAAGCTGCTCTTCCGGCCCTTCATCACAGCAGCGGTGCAGAGGCAAGTACCTACCATGTAAGTGCCTGGTCAGACCCCCGTCTGTTTTTCCTTCTCTTCACTGGACGGGCTGATCCAAGCTGCCCAAGTTCCCCGAGACACTTGGGACAAAAGCTCGCCTCCCCCGGCTCTTGCAAGGATACGCAAACAATCGCACCGCGCTATCAGATACAGTAGCTCGAGGCCCGAGGATTCTCCCCTGACACTGCACGACACGACTCGAAGCGCGTTAGACACACGCTTTTCTCTGCCTCCTCTCCACTAGTAGCGAGATGGCTTGTCATGAGTCTCGTTGGCTTGCCCATCCCCTTCTTACCTCGACGAAGGATGAATGGGATCAAGGCAACCAACATTTGACTGGGCTAGACCGGACCGGATTGGCGCCAGGACACCACACACGGATCACGAGACATGCCCGCGGCGACGGCACGGCATGATGGCATTCCATCCTTCGTCCTTTTGATTCAGCTTGCGCTACCTGCGACGTGCTGTGGCGCCCGGCACGGTGACCAGGACCAAGGGGAACGAGTGGAGGCCGCAACCCAGATGGGATTCGAGACCAGATCACGGCCAGATCACACCCGTGAACTGTGGTGGGCTGTGGGTTGTGGGTCCCAGACCTTGTGCCGCCCTTCATACTTGGTATTGCATTCACACTCACAGGTGGTGCATCTTGCCATTCGCGGGTCGCTGTGCCCGAGCAAGGTCCAGGATCTGTGCAATGTACCTAGTACTACCACTCACTGTTGTCGAATCCTGGATTGGTAGGTCGCTTGGCAGACACATGCTGATCCCACTTACTGCGTAGCCAGCAAACCACACCCACGAAATCAAGCACCTTGTAGGTACAGAATACAAGTACTCTGCTAAGCTAAAGTGATCCAGCGCCCACACACCCGCATCCGTCTCCGTACCGCACCGCATTGCACCGTGCCCAGTTGGGCCAAGTTGGCCCCCCCCCCGGGCCAGGGTGTTTACCCTTCGCCCACGCTACCTTGGACCGGGCGGTGGTGGGCTTTTGAAAA